AGGAGCCACAAATCAGGTCACTTCCTGTTACAAAACAATAAGGTCACTTGGGGAATTTATATATTACATAAAAAAACAGCTTTGCTTTTGTAGTTTAAACAAATTCAGCACACATGAGATACAAATAAGTCCTCTGCAGTGGGACATCAGCATCTAATGAGCAACAATAGCAAAAGCAAAGCTCTATTAGCTCAGATAATTTAACAAATTCAGGCTAAAGCTGTACCTTACTGTGTACCATTATACACGGCTCATCAATGTATGAAGATATGTGCTAAGCCGCAAATATTCTGTTTACAAGCTCAATGATGGCATCTACTGGGGAGATAAGTGATTCACATGACAAAAAAAAAAAAACTTGCATCCATTCGGACGAGCAGCTGAGAAATCTGCAGCAAGGATGTGATGCCATCATGTCAATATGGAGCAAAATCTCTGAGGAATGTTTCCAGAACCTTGCTGAACCTCTGCCATGAAGAATTGAGGCTGTTCTGAAGGAAAAAGGCGGTGCAACCCATTATTAAGTGCAACTAATAAAGTGGCCAGAGGACATTATATGCATGAGTAATGCATCTTCAACTCTACCACCTCCAGCTTTCTGCCTTATGTATCTTTGTCAGTGCCACTTTCATTTTACTATTGTCTTGAAATTGTCATTTCACTCATCTCCTTTTGCATTTCATTCCCGACACTATATGCATAGGAAAAAGTATAATGTCAAAGTATATCAACTATTGTGTCGTACAGTAAAGTCACACTCATATGTGTAGTGTTCTGCTCTCAGTCTGAGAGTGTTTAAATGTTTGTGGGGTTTTGTGAACCACGGTGCCACCTTCTGGCAGTCAGTTGTAGTCACCCATGGCAGATCACGTGGTGTGACTAGCTAGTTCTGCTGTGGATTATTTTCTTCCACTTTTGCCTTGGAAACTATCTGTCCGTGAGTAAACTGAGTAACTGTGTTTTTAATATTTTTAAGAGTGATATTTTTAGGTCTGATCAAATGTAACTGCAGCCAAAATAACCGATGTTTAGGTGTGGAGTAAATCTGTTTCCTTTTGTATTCAAGTCAAAGCATTTGGTCTGTGCCGAGTGAAGTAACAGTATTGTCAGTAATGATGTTTGCAATATGTTTATGATTTTTTACAGTTTTATAGTAATATGATAATTACTTTTTGGGAGCTTCAGTAAAGTCAAGAAAAGTGCAGAGTGTAAGCTCCTGTCAAACTTTGAAGATGCAAACGTCAAGGACAGCATATATTGTTCTGTGTAGCTGGCAGTGTTGGTCAAGTTACTTGAAAAAAAAAAATTAGTTACTAATTACAGATTACTTCTCCAAAAACGAATCCTGTTACTTTATTGATTACTTGTTTTCAAAAGTAATTAGTTCCTTTATTGCTTAATTTATCGCTGTAGAAAGCAGTTTTATTCCCATGCAGAGTGTACAGCGGGCGCTAATGTTTTTGTCACTTTTTACGGAATCAGACTCAAAGTAATGTCAGTACTTTCAAGCTTTAAACGCTGTTTGGTCGTACTCTCTCTTGCACTCCATATTATCTATTATTGATGAGCCACTCTGACAAACAAAATCGCGGTTTAGCGTGCTTAGATTAACAGTAATCTAATGACTTTTTTTGCGATAGAAAACCCTTACTTTACGTGAAAAAGGTAATCGGATTACAGTAATGTGTTAGTTGTAACGCGTTAATGCCCATCTCTGGTAGTGAGCAATCCATCGACCTCTGATACAAAACTGAGAACACGTGTTTCTACTTGTCTTCAAATACAGGGTGATTTCACTATATCACTGATAGTGAGTGGATCAGGGGCTGTTTGTGACCCAGCCATTTGAGTTTATTTTGTATTTTTGATTCCTTATGTTACATAGGAAATATGTTTAGTTCTTGTGTTGTTATTATTCATTAGGATTTAGCTGAGTTTCATTATAGTTTTGGTTTCACTCTGTAATTTTAAGTCTTTTCTTGTCCTCCACATAGTCTGTCTTATCCTCAGTGTTTTACTTTCACTTTGCTTTCAGGTCTATCCCCCGGTTTCATGTTCTAATTGTCAAGCTTGTGTTGTCATGTCTATGTCTCTCCATGTTTTCTGTTTTATTTTGAAGAGTCTAGTGTTTCCATGTTCAGTTTGTTTCATTTTATTCCCCCCTGTGGTGTCATGTTCATTTGTGTCAGCTGTGTCTCCCCAGGTGTTCACACTTCACACTTCACACACTAATTACCCTTCTGTGTATTTAAGTCCTCTGTCTTCCTCTGTTCAGTGTCAGGTCATGACAGTGTGACTGGCTTTACTCTTTCATGCATATTTGAAAAAGATTCAGAGACTGTCTTGGCTCACCGCCTATATGTCTGGGTGTTGCCTGGTGGATGAGACAGTTGTCTCTTTGTGCCTTTGGGTCAGGAATGGGTTCTGACTGTCATCTGTGCTTACGGTTATTCAAGAATCTCCTCAGTCTCATTGACACACCTCCCGTAGAGGAAGCAGAGTCTGGAGATGATCCCTCGTTACTGCAGATGAGGCCACTGAGAGAATTAAACAACCCCTTGGAGATTTGCCCTGAATTCCTTAAGCAGGAATTACACTTTACACATTAATTTTATTGCTAACACAGACAGCATGCTAACATTAAACTAGCCAAGAATCCAGAGTGATGTTAAAGCTGAGTGAATGCTGACCCCAACCCAGCAGCCAGACCCTGAACTTCAAAAGATAATAAACAGATGAACAGTCAGGCTGCTGCCTCTGATTTGACCTGTTCATGTCCCTAAAGTAGAATCACTGTGGGGATCGCTTTGTTTCTTTGTGCTGGTTTTCATCTTTGCTTTCTGTTTTCAGCTTTTTGTTTATACTTAAGTACTAAGAGAAAAATCATATGTGTGTCCTCATAAGAATAGGGATTTGTGTTGATGTGTGAGACTGCAGCCTACAGGTTTATATAGTTTACTGGTAATTATGAGACAATGCGTTTCAGGTCATTTTACAGAGAAATGTGAAAGTAATGTAACAAGTAGTAGTTTCTCCTTGGAGTAAATGAGTAGCATCCTGCATTACTTTTAATTAAAGAGCCCTGTGTAGGACTAGCAAAAGGCATTTCGTGATTAATAACCTGCCACTGTGTGACAGTCATGAGCTCTTATTTGTATTACAAACAGGACGGTTATTCTTGTTTATATTATCTTAAATATTAGTTTGTGGCTTGCACAAAACATGACATTTCTATTTTGAGGCCATACCTACGTTTTTGAAACTGTAAAATTGTCATATTTGTTAGTGATTTGTTTGCATACACAGTTATACATACTGTTGCATTCTTGCAGGTTAATTATTGTTAATAAATTAAAATATAATTAGGGAGAATATGGGGAATGGACAGACCAAAGAAACTTGTAGTTCAAACAGAGTCAAAATGAAAAAGCGCTTTCTTCCTCTTCTGTAACGTATGCGTCACAGCTCCGCTCCGCTACGATAATAGTTGGGCCGACGTGGTCGGTCGCATCTATGGCACCCCACAGGAGCTGGAACTGTTTGATGGAGAGGCTGTTGATCAGGTCAGAGACATTTGATGCTAAAATATTAGCTTCACGTTATAACCATGTGAAGAGTTCTTTAATCATTTAACCTATTTTAATGTGATATTTATTTACAGATTTTTATTTTTTTGTGGTGCATAGTTTTTAACTTAATTACTTCGTTTTTTAACTTAATTTCTTTGAATTCTACTCTACTTGCATCATCATCATCTATATCATTAATCTGTTTTAAATTAGTTATTTGCCTACATTTTAGATCTCTGGAAAATTGATAACAACTACATCTATCAGGTGATATTTGGGACCTCCAGAGGGCGCTCTCTGATTGTCAGCCAGCCCACTCAGGTCTGGCACATTCACTGGTTACATTTCCTCTTTGTTGACATGTGCAGTGCTAATGTTCATCATCATGTGTTGACCTTTGGTCCTGCATTGCAGGGCTCCTTTAACTTTTACCCGACCCACCCTGATGCAGAGCTCAGACTGCTGAGCGGACGACTCAGTGGTAATGGGATTACGTCCCTGGGAGCTCACTGGGGAGTGTTGTTCATTTATTAAGGCAGCAATACAGATGAAGTTATTAATGAAATACAGAAACACTGATTAATCTTTTTGTCATTTGTTGCTATATAAATAAAACTGAACTGATTAAACATCGAACAAAAAATCTCTTAAGAAAATAGCAAAGTGGGTGCACTGTATTACACTTTTTTCTTTCTTTGGAAATTGGGTCTGCAGTTTACTGTTTTCCTGTGAACAAACAGAAAAGTCATTTTGTAAGATGAGTTTAGTTTGTCTCCAAGGTTAAATATATAATATGTGCTAATGACAGGTGGGGGTTTTTGGTATTAAATGAAAAGACATCAGTGAAAAAAAATTTGCACATTTGCATCAGTGAAGAAGCTGTGACATTTTGCACTTTTAATCAAAATCACACAAAGCTTATACAAATGATTTTACCATTTTTATTTATGCTTTATGGTTGAAGGATAAAGTTGTATAATGTTCAGTGTTTTGTGAGCAGCATGTTTTTGACTTGATCTTTTTGGGAATTGTTGGCAATCAAGAGAAAAATCAATACACAAAATAAAAAGCATTTTGGGTATTAGAACAAACGCACGTTGTACACATGGGTACACATGGTTCAGGTCATTTTTATGTTACGTCCTTCACTGCTTTATCTTCTCAAACTGCTTGTATGTAGACCACTGGTTGCACGGCTGCATCACACAAACAAGGTTAAATATGTTGAAAACAAGTGGCTGCTCCGTCACAGCAAGTTTTTCATTTTTCTACTGAACTTTACTTCGTTAGAATTTGGTCACAGAATTCACAAACGCTTGTGTTGACAGAGAAAAAGAA